CCTTGCAGATGTGTTAATTAACCATGAGGGTTACACCACGGTTACACGAACTCAACGTTTTTAACCATAAAGCACAGCGCCACTGAAACCGATAATCCTTGTGGCCATATTTTATTTTTTAACAATCGACAACCCTTTCAGCATCACTGAAATCGACACCCTTTGACGCCCGTACATTTTTTTATATTGTATTGTGATTTGACTCTGGCAGTCTGTAATACAGCGCTCGCTATTGCATCACTGAGATCGATAACCCTTGGTGCCTGTGTATTTTTTTTAAACATTTTACTGTGATATGACAAAAGACACAGCGCTCGCTATTGCATCGCTGAGATCGACAACCCTTGGTGCCCGTGTATTTTTTTTAAACATTTTACTGTTGCGTCACTGAAATAGACACCCTTTGACAAACCCATTAACACATATGCTGGCCGAGTACGGTCACTGGCCGTGATCGGTCACTGGCCGAGTAGAATTCTGGCCGAGTTCGGTGGTCACCGTCTTGCAGAGGTCTACATTCAGTTCATCATTGAAGCCGGGGGTTGTGGTACTAACTTGCAGGGAGAGAGTCGAACAGCACGGTTTCAGAGAAAAATATTGCTGCATGCATTATTCTATTCTATTCTATTAGTCGATTCGAGCATAGACTATATAGAAAACTCTATGGAGAGATGACTCTGAGATCTGTAGAATAAAATGTGTGAAGAGACATCGAGGTAACAACAACCTTTATTGATATCGTATTCCTTCTGGGATCTAGATTAGAATTAGCTGCAGTTCTGTAGCTCGCTTGGTTTCGCTGTCGGTTATTTTGTTCGTCGTGGTGTTAACGCGAAACCAGGGAGCTACAGTTCCATCCTATGCGAGTTACCATATTTTACCGACCTGAAATCAGGTCGGGCCGTAACAGCCGTTTTTTTTCATTATTTTCGCCTCAAGTTTCTACTTTTCTACTGTCGATGGGTCCCGAAACTATTTCATCAATTATTTTGAGGGCGATTGTCCGAAATTGGTCGATTTCATGACGAAAACCGCGGAAAACTACAGCGAAATCCCCGCGTTTGCCGCCATCTTGAATAAGTTGTCGTGACATCACAAGGCGTCACAGTTTTCCCATTTCACACAGTTTTTGCCGTGAAAACGACCAATATTAGTGTTTTAAAACGCTAGAAGAAAAGACTACAACTGCGGTTCCATGCATATTTGCATAATGTTTATCTTTGGAAGGGTTTAAATGATAACATCTCATCTGTATACTCTGTTGTTGACGATTCTGATATAACGGGTGATGAGCTTTCCATCGCAAACAATGCGTGTTTATCTAACGTCCATTGCC